CTATCGTTATCAGTCATCACATCGTTTTCTAATTAATATGGAGAAATTTTAAATATCTGAGTTTTCAGGAGTTAATTTTTTATTTTAACTCTGCTAGTAATAGGTAAATCAAAATCTGCAACAGTATAATATTAGTAGATAGTGAAAGAAGGGCAACCGAAATTAGCCTCATTAGCGGAATTTAATTCCTTACATATGATGATTTACAAAAGCATGTTACGATACAATTCAATAAAGAGATAAGTTTAGTTTTAGAACTAATGAATTTATATATGAATTTGCTAAATGTTCAAGAGAAGATTTGAGCTTGAAGAATTCGCATATAAATTAGAATTCGATAAACGATGAAATACAACAACTTTCTAAAGCACAAATACTTTTCTTATTTAGATATGAAATTATTTTATAAAATTATTTTGGTGTTCCTCAAAGTACGCTTGAGAAGTTCCTGATTAGTAAATATCACTTTTACGTTTTGAACAAAATTCTCGCAAATATGCATTATTGCAAACTATTTTGAAATAATTTTTTTTTAAAAAATATGGAATCTGAATTTCAATTATTCCTCACTGTCATCTCTTAACTGCAACATTTCTTCAGCAGTAATTTTATTTCAGTGTTATTAGAAAAAAAAAAGAAAAAAAAACAGAAAACTGAAAATATCCCACAGCCTAGCCAGATGATAATAAACTATATGACCCCCAAAAAACAATCCTCTTTCTCAGCCAAGCCAATATATTTTCATAGCATGTCCGGTTGGGAAGCAGAGAGATGCACATGTCACAAAGGTTCTGCTGGTTTGCTTAGTTGCTGGACGGTTGTCTGAGAGATCTCGGTGGAACGAGTGGCGAGGAATGGGATAGGGGAAATTTTAATTATGCAAAATATAACTCATTTATATCATACGTTTGTACGTGTTGTTCTGTATTCAAAAGGAACTGTGTTTCGCGTCAAATTTCATTGATACATTTCTTCTAACCTTTCTCAGATTTTATAAATGTTTTGATTAGCGTATGAAGAATTTGTGTTACTTGCTGTTATAGTTATGCTTCTCTTTCAGATTGAACTAATCGGGAATTCTTCGGTAATGTCTTCGGTGTACAATTTAATTGTTAATCAGAAGTATGTTTTATAATTGAAATTTAACGATGATTACTCGATTGCTCTTTATTATTGGCAGTAAATGGTGCAAAAAATTTATGCGAAAGATTTGCTAAGATATGATCTTTTAATTTTATTTGCTATTAAAATATAATGAAAAAAATCAACCAGGAATTTTTTACACATGTATTTTTATTAACAAAAATTTTTTCAGGACTTGGAATGGAGATCAACTTGCTGTTCACCTTTTTGCATACAAAGAATTGTTAAGCCTTGTCAAGGAAGTGGACATGAATCAGGTGGATGAAATTATGGATGTCACCAGTATATGCCTAAAAAAGGAAAATGAGGTAAGATATTATTGGTTAATACTTATCAATTTGAGCAAATATATCTATCCATAATTATAATCTTTAGAGGATAGAAACGCTGTCCGTTATACATATTTTATTTAGCTTTGAACACTGAATATTGCAATTTTGTCCTTCGCAGTTGTTTGTTTCGGTAGTTACTTTTTCTTTCTTCATCTCGAATGAATTATCTACATTTGATTTTCAGTTACCTTCGCTAGATTTATTGCGAGTAAGCGCTGAACTATTATCTCTTATTGAAAGAAAGACTGAAATATTTACTGGCAAAAAATTGATGCAAAGGAACTGGTCTATTAATTTTCGCATTGTTATCAGACGTCTGCTACAGACTCCAGCCATCAGTGTGCATTTTTCACAACTTTACTTTGCTTTTACGGTAGAAATTTCCCTGAACTTTACTGATCAAAATTGGAAAAGTTTTGTTATCACCAATTAATGTTGCTCTCAGCCAATCTTCTTAATTTTGCAGCGCAATCTATACCCAGTACATCGAAGGAAGCGTTTTCTGATCAGTATTTACCAGTATTATTTGAATTATCGGATGAATTGGTTTCTCTGATTGGTAGTCAGTGGTTTGAAAGTGACCCAGATTTTTTGTTGTTGCTATCTTCTATGTCTTCTATACGATTACAAGAAGTTTTCAACAAACAGGTATTTGAATTTTTCTTTGAGTTCATATATATTTTTGAGATTTTTGAAATTGTTGAATTACAAATCTTTGTGGCATAAGTTGTTCAATCATAGCTTTCTCTCTCAGATGATTTTTATTAGTCTTTAGCAAGAAATAAGACTCAATTTATGTCTTAATGAAGTATGTTTCAGGACAGAGTAAAAGTCTTTTCTCGATAGGTAAAGTATCCAGTAGAGAGTTTACTGATAAAGACAAATTAATACATAAATCAGTAACCCACTTGCAGACATCTATTAAAGAAGCATTCGTTCATGGACGTCTCCACTGTTACTTTGCGCATTACGGTGAATACGCCAGCATTTTATCGGATGATAAGTAAACTTTTTATTGACTGCTCATTTTTGTTAACATAGCATCGTACTGATTTGTGGGTTTTGAATTAAGACCCAAACGTTAATTCATGTTATATATAATTAGGAATTTGCATTATTTAAATACATAGTTTCACACTTTTCATGTTTTCTTCCATTTCGAGATCATCTAACAAATAATTCCTCGATACAAAAGTATGTATAACAAACGAATTTTGCATTAAAAAATTTTTAGGGCAACAATATTATGTGGAACACTGCGGGAATCTGCAATTTACACATGCGAGTATTATTATAACTGTAAAGAAAGCTTAGATGACTTCAAGAAAATGATAGTATCAACATTTCAATTCCTTTGTATATACATAGATTTCGGAGGATTGGCTACATTGCCTTCAGAATATACGAAGGACCTTGGAAAAGTGCTTCTCCATCATGCAGGTACTTTTTGAAGTATTTTCTGGATTATTTTTAATATAGGGGACATGGGAGAATTAATTTTTAAATGTATATATAGTACCTTTTCACTTGTTGTTGCTTTATTAATAAGCTCAAAATCCTCAAAATCCCGAGAAAAGCACTCCAAGAAATATGGTGGAAGATATTTGGCATAGAGTTTTTGGGAGGTCAGACAGAAAAAAACAAGCATGATGCCTCTTGTTTTTAATACTTTTGGCTTGAAGCTACAAATATAATCTAAAAATTGACTTGGAAATTGTAAAATCCCATAATTACAGATAGCGCGTGCTATTTTTGCTTGAAACTCGATCGAAATATTTTCTATCCTTTATTTTTATTAAAACTGCTCTAATCAATTTCTTATTTGTTAATTTTGCAGTCGGTTGCTGCGAAATTTCATTGGTTCCATTGGAATGCCTAGCTAAAGTAATATGTGAGTTGCCGAATTTACCCAACACAACATTGGATACGATTACGGACGCTTTAAAAAAATATAATAACAAAGCTAATGAAGAGGATGTAGTCCGAGTGCGTTCCTTTTTTCTTTTTTTTTTTGATTTTATTAATTCATTGACTTAGAAAAATTCGTTTGAGATATTCACTCATGAATGAAACTCACTTACTCTCCAAGGTAAACCAGTTAATTATATATGTACGAAAAAATTGTAGGACTTCAAGAATTTAGCTGCTGCTTGTGATTTTGTTCGAAAGCAATTTTCATGAGTGGCGGAGCAATAATTATGTTAATCAGTTCAGTTCGCACTAAAAAACAAACTTGAGGTGATATAGGAATTGAACATATGCGAAGTAATATTTTGTAGATATTGGATAGTTTGCACGTTCAGCTGCAGGGAAGTACTGCTAGCAGAAAATGGTGTTCAAATGTCAATTTACGTAGAGTGGTTGAACTTTTGCAGCAGATAAAATCAGGATAAAATATGCTAAGCAATATGTTACACTTTTTTTTTCTCATCCATTCGTTTAAATGTAAAATCAAATGCTTTTTTTCTCGAATGTTCGGCGAAGATATGGTTAATTTTTTAAGTACGGGCAGTTTATTTTTGTTAATTTTTACTTGTTTTATCTTGAATATGTGATGCTGGTATGCCTTTTTTGATTTTTTCGGAAAAATTTTTCGGAAATTTTTTGCTCTAAAATTATAAATCATAATTTCGTGTAAGATTCTCTCAGATATATCATCAATGCCACTTATATTTTATTTCATATTGCTTCACTTCTCTACTCATATATCCACGATAATTCCTACTTTTATGATCTTTCGTGTAATGCTTTATTTTTTCCTTATGTGAAATATAACATTATATCTCTCCACATCTGAAAATTTAATCGATATTTCATAGTGATGGAAAAATTTTAGTCCATTATTGTGGATCCTTTTAAATAGTAAAGTATCCCCAACCTTATAAATTATGTTCACCCAAAAGTAAATGTTTGATGAGAAAATGGCTAGAATAGTTGAAATCATGCAATGTGCAATTTTATCTGGCTCCCACTATCAGCACTCAAACAGATAACATAAAGCCAATCTTACCTTAACTAACGACATAATATTTGCTTCAGGTAAAAGAATGTATTCTAAATGATAGGATAACATTAATCTTATTAAAAATAAATCATAAGCAAAATATATGAGGAATGAATGCTACCCGTGAGGGTAAAATAGACATATGGAAGAGACAGTGTCAAGATATGGAAATATCTAAACATATAAATTTTTACGAAGTTTATTTTTTTGGATAGTTTTATCCATTATTCGTGTAAAAAAAAAATTTAAAGGAACTGAATGCTAATGTATCATTGGAGGAGCATTATCCGTTATGAAATATTGTTTTCTCTTGCTACTCAAACATAATTACCTCAGTATACATTTTTTTTTTTCATTTTTTGCCATTTACGATATTATTCGATTATCATTGAGATCTTTTACTAAACATATATCAACATTTGATATATTTCAGTTATATTGGATTGAAATGAGATTAACATCGAAATGTTTTTTGATCAATTTTTTTCAGCTGGTGCAAAGTACTTGGAATCTATTTTCAATTACGTAGTAATATTAGAAAATGTGTAATTTTGATGTCTAATGCATGAATCAATGTGTCAAATAACCTACATGTCAATTTATTGTTTACTATTTTCATGTACTAATTAAAATATGCATTAATTAACCGTAATTTTTTTTTTCTATGAAATAAATATGAAGTTTACATTCTAGATTTTTATTGTCAACTGCTTCATTAGGTTTATTTGGTCGGTGGTAGTGGTGCCAATCACCATTGAACATTTGGTGCAATGAATTTTACATCATCCACTTCTAACCCTTCATCTTCACAGCCTAAAATTAAAATTGCATCATCAGAGGAACAGTCTTTTGAGAAAGCTTTGTCAGATGTTGATTTCAAAGGTGGTGATATTTCCGTCGTTTAAAATTACTGATTGTTAAGATGTGAATGCTAAGCTTACAGTGGGCCCAGATTGTTCGAAGTTGACAGCAAATTAGGCCCACTTTTAAATTCTGTAGTGAAAGTCTTACTTCCTTCGACATTATTTGAATCGATTTTCTCTTCATATAATGGGAGATCAAATGTAGAATTCGCTCAAAAATTCAGGAGGTTTGAAATAATTTCAGCAAATTCTTCAGGTCGGTCGACATATTTTCGGGTTGCTTTAGTTGGTGAAATTGGTTCGGAGAAAAATAATGTCCGTCGAGCGTATGTTCAACTTATGTCAAGTCGGAGCAATCAACTTGAAGCCGAGAAGGCGTTGGTTTGTGATTAACTACCTTTAACAATTTGGTATATTTCGTAAGAATTAAAGGGACTGAAAATTTTCTTGAATTTTTTTCCTGAAATTTCCTCAACACAATTTTTATTGCTTTTTCTTTTTAAATCGATACCATCTAGTACCAATTTAAAAAAGATAAAGCAATAGAAGTATGTATGAGCAATGAAATTTTACTTGTAAGAATTACGAGAAAAAATTTTTAATTTTGATAATACATCATCAGCGTTTAATAGAACTTCGCTTTTCATAACAACTGAAATCTGAAATTGTAGAAAGAAAATGTTTTTGAGCCTATTGATGTGCTCGATTCAAATGTCGTCACCGTCCTGGGATTTCAGGTGAGTGTAGTAACTGGAACGGTGGAATTTTTTCATCATTATAGATTATTATATAAAATAAATCCTAAGTTAACGCCTACCAGCTAAATTATTTCCTGGAATTCACTTAAGAAATTCTGTACCTCTAATCAAGTGATTACTCATTGATCTCATTTCAGGGAAATTCCTTATGTTGAATGATTCAACATTCTAAGCATTCAAAATTTCTCCATTTTATTTTACCATAAACTCAATTTGAACTTAAAACAATGATAAATGCAAGCGAGCAGAATGATCAGCTACTGAATATATAGTAATTTTAGATTGAATTAATGTGCGCTGAGCGAATTGTTGATTTTAAACGAATCCCAACGATGATCCGTTGCAGTTATCTGGATGCTATCATCATTTTCTATCACATTAGTAGCTTGCGACAATTCGAAAGCATTCACCAGAAAGTAATAATATTAGATGTAATCAGAAAAAATCATTTAGCGAATTATTAACTTCAAAAAAAAAAAAAAATTGGCATAGTTTACATCATGCTCACCCTTTAACAGATTCTAAACTTCCTTTTTCACTCATTCAGTGGGTTCCAACCATAAGACGTCTATATCGTAGCACACCTTTCATTATTTGCGCAACGGGGATCGAGGCACGCCTACCACGTGACGTCCGTCAATTGTTATTAAGAAAACAGCTTGGTGATGTTGAAATTGGTGAGTTCTTTCCGTATTCTTTGCAAATTTATAAGATGAAGCTTTCAGTTCATTTTCGGCTTTCTTTTAGATACCACGACAAAACCACCGTACAAACCGAGAAATCAATTTAAAAAGTAATGCTTTTCCATTTTCTCGGAATGTTACGAAAGAATTTCTTAAGCCTACAAAATAATGTGGTTTTCAGAACGGGTAACAAAGATCCACGAACATTCCAAAGTTTAATTACAACAAAAGTTGGCCAAAGTTTGGCTACAGAACTGAAAGCCTCCTATTATTGTGAAGTATCCACTAAAACCTATGTAGGAAAAATCCATATCTTCTTTTTAAAACCAATTTTTCAAAATACGAAAGTAATTAAATTGAGTTTAGCCAAGAGAACAGGTGAAAACGGAACTTCCCTCATTTTTCAGAAAGCAAACACTAAAAAAACGAGCGGAATTTTCCGTCCTAAGTAAACCTCCAGAACTCGGATTAATGAATGATTTGAATTCAAGTTTTTTCAGGAAGGAATTGAAGATCTTTTCAACGATGTTTTAGCTGCAATTATATCTTCGCAACGATCTAAAATTTATTTGACACGTAATCGAGTTGGAAGGCCACGACCAAAGGATGCTTGTGGTATTATGTGATCACCAAAACATAGTAACAATGGCGAAAATGTATTATTAAGATGAGGAATTCATCAATGCAAGTATTTACGTAAATATAGTACAAACAAATAAAAAGCTGAAGTTATTAGAATGTTCATATCATATGATCGAACGACAGATATAACTTGCAGAACCATAAGTTCAATTGTCCTAAGTGATAATAACTGGGTCATGCGCTACTAAGTAAACCACCTCGAATAAGGAATGTCTTGTTAATGGCGCAATTAAACCATTCTTTTTTCAATAAAATTTGATAGTTTTTCTTTAATCTACCAATCCTATACCTTTTATCAGCTCCATCCCTCTTTCTCAACTTTATTTTTTTACAGCAGATATTAACGAATGTTTTCTTTTGGATTTTCATTTTAATGTCATTCATTTAATTTGAAATTCCACGATTTCGTTATCAATTTTCTTTTCCATTGGTGTTGTTCACTTTAGAATCATCGGGCGATTCCGACAAGTTTTCTTGAATTATCTAAAAAAAATGTTCTGCATATATGTGTATTCCTCATCTTCAGCTAATTTATTCAGCTGACTAAAAATCAGAAATATAAAACTTACAGCAAGTAAAGATTCGACTTGTTCCTCATTTAATCGTTCTTCACATTCTTCCACTATTAATTGGATCTAAAGTACTTACTGCCATAATCAAATTAAGATTAGAAAAACAAAAACAAAAGACGAGTAAAAATTGGAGTTAATTCTCCGTGGTTTTTCTGAATGGGGTTATCAATTCATTTATTTGAATAGGCTTATTATAGCGAGTTTAATTCCGAATTAAATAAGGAGAAATTACCTCAACAGCTGTTATAGGTCGCAAATTTATGAGCTGTAAGATTTCTACCGCCGTTAACTATAAATAAATTATT